AAAGAAATTAAAAAGTAGGCTAAAAGTCACTTTTGGTTCCTGTAGTTTGACACTTCAACCACTTTTGATTGCAATAAATTATTTATTTCAACGCTTGTTTCTTTAACTAGAGTATGTATATTTAATTTTGACAATAAATTTTTTTTTTTTTGGTAGTATAAGTCTAAACTATAGGGGAGGGGAGGGGGGTTTCTCACATACACAATAACTAAGATGTCATGAGGGTTTGAACCTGAGATCTCTGATCTGCAAATCAATACCCTTTTCTACTGGGTTAGACCTCGTTGGTGACAAATTTAGTTCTGAAAGTAATATTATGGGTTAGCATTTAACCATTTATGTTTTGTTTTGTTAGATGGAAAAAGAAGAGAAAAGTAGGAAGAAATATAATAATGGTGAAAACTATATGATATGGCCTTTCATGTTTTGTTTTGTTTTTTGTTTTATGATAATGGTTTTTTTTTTTTTTGGTTAACGGGGTCTAGCCCAATGAAAAAAGGCATTAGTTTGCATACCATAGGTTATAGGTTTGAATTCCCATGACATCTTAGTTGTATGTGTGTGAGAAATCTCCATCTTGTGTATTGTACTAAAAGAAATGTTTTGTTTTTTTAGAAAGAAAAAGAAGAGAAAAGTAGGAAGAAAGATAATAATGGTGAAGAATATAGGAGAGAAAATGTTATTATAAAATAACTAACAAAAAAGAAGAACTAAAAACTAAAATTAAGTGTCAATGAGGTCTAGCCCAGTGAAAAAGATATTGACTTGCATACCTGTGGTTTCAGGTTCAAACTTCATGGAACCTTGATTGATAGTGTTGTGGAAAACCCTTAACATATTCTAATCTAGATGCATAAACAGTTTCACCAATATCGCTTGTATAAAAATAAAAAGTCTAACAACGTTCTTCTAATGTATCTAATCTCCTTCCTTTGCTTCTATCGATTTTTCATGTTAGGATATTTGGCAATTGAGTTCCTTGAGTGATTCTATTTGTTTTCAACACATTTTTAGGGAGGCTAATTTCATCTGTAGATGTTGTATCTAGTATGGGCCATGGCCTCTTGACTTCTGTTGTTTGGGGTTACCCCTTTATGTTGTTTTTCCCTTCTATTTTGACCTCTTTGAGCTTCCTTACTCCATAGAAGTTTTGTTTTGTAATTTTCGTTTACGTATTAAAAAAAAAAAAGAAGAAGATATTTTGTTACCAACCAAAGAGTTTGTCCTATAACCGAATAGATAAGTTCACATCAAACGAGAATATCAAAAGCCAAACCCCAATAAAAATAGCCGTAAATTGCCTTCCCATGTCATTCATCTCTATCTCTTTTAACCAAAAAAATAAAAACGAGAAAAACAAAAATCCTAGCTAACAGTTCCAATTAATTGAATTTTTGGTTTCTGATTTCAATTTATCATACCCATCAAACGCTGGTTATGGTCAGTGTCCTTTTTCAGCGCGATCCATCAAAGTTTTAAACGAAAATCTCAAAATTAAATTTCCGAAAAAATTAAAATTAATTGGTCCGAAGTCCTTTTCCTCTTTGTCCTTGTGGACCATTTCCTTTCGTCCATCTCATTATAACTCCCCCTGTCTCCGCAATCACCCCACCTTTTCACGAAATTACCTTTTTCACCATTCCTTGAACGCCGCGCCCAGGCCCCACACTTCCACCCTATAAATCTCGACGCGAAGGAGGTGCAATTCCCGCACCGATCGAAGCCCAAATCGGTCATTTGAGATCAGAGTGGAGAGAGAGGAGAGAGAAGAGAGAGAGAGAGAGAGAGAGAGTGTGTGTGTTTGCAAAAAGACGAGTTTTAGAGAGATAAAGTGGTGTGTTAAAGAGACAGAGAGACTCGTGGAGGGTCGCTGCGTGCGATGCGTGGAGGGAGGGAGGGCAGGTGGTGAGTGGCGAGCGAGAGATAGAGTAAAACGCCGAGATCGCGTTCTTGAAAATGGCGGATCATCAAGCTAAAGCCATTAGAGACTGAGAAACAGCTCTTTGCTTTCGTCTTTTTCGCTCTTCAAATCTCTCGATCACCGACTTTCAGGTCCCTTCTCTCTCTCTCCCTCTCTCTCGCATTGTCTTTAATTCTCTTCGTTTCTCAATTTTCTCTCACAAACCTGCATTGCCTTCAATTCTCTTCGTTTCTCTCTCTTTCATGTTTTGCACGTGCTTGTAACATCACATCGTCACGGGCTAATCATTGTGTCGAATTTGGTTTTTCTTTGTCTTCGAAATTTTATGCATTTTGGTGTCGGTAATTTTGAGCTGATTTTTTATTTTTTTGGTTTCGTGTGTTGTTGCAGAGATGACAGAGGCGACGAAGGTGTTGTACATAGTGGTGGTGGACGATGAAGCTAAGAGAGAGAAAGGAAAAGAGTCTTTTCGATATACGCGCCCTGTTTTGCAAAGCTCTTTGCAACTCATGGGCTGCAAGCCTCGGCATGCCTTTAAGGTATACACAAAGTTTTTGACTTTTGAATTTATCTTAAATTGTTGTTGAAAAATTTAAAACTTTTGTAGTTATGGGTTGTGTGGTTTTGCTGAGGGCGTCCAGAATTTAAATTCCAGGAGGAAGGGTGTATTTTGGTTTTTGAATTTATTACTGTGAATAGCTTTGGAAGGTGTTTGTGGGGTAGATCTGCGTTTGCTTGTAATGCGTTCTGCAAATTTTCTGAATTTCACTTTTCGAAGTCTTCAACGATACATTGTATTGTGTTGAATTTTTTGGTGAAAGAATTCTATTCAGAGTCTGGTCAACGAAGGCTTCTCTGAACTAATTTTTTGTTGGTCTATTAGTCTCGTTTGTACAATTGGAGTTCTGTAGAGTGATTCTCTTATGTGTCAATTTATGGTGCAAAATGTCATTATCACAGATTAAGTCCAGGCGCTTCTTAATTTTTTTAATAAAAAAAAGGTGGGTTATGACCGTTATGTTGTTCCTGGGTCGCCTTCGACTTGACCTGTTAACAATTATTCTGCTGGTGGAGCCGTTAGTTTTTATTGTGCTTTAACCATCTTAACTGATGATCTCTCATCCTGTCCTCCATTTACTTTCCAATTTTTCCACCACTTATGGCTTTTTCAGCTCTTAAATTTCAAGAGTTGACTCTGTTAATTGATGGATCTCTCTATTTTGTGCAATAAGCTCTGTTGAGTAAGTTCCAATGGTGTTTCTGCAAATCAATATCTGACTATATATGTCCTGCACTTAATATTAAAATTGCCTGGGGTATAATATCCCTCATGTTCCAATTGCCTTGGTAGGGTTTGTTTTGCGTGAGAAATCCCTTGAACTTTGTTCACATGCTTTCAAGTGTCCTCCAGTTCTGTGAATAGCCAAGAGGTTGAACTGTGTTATTGAATTATATTCCAATTTGGGTTATTAACAGTTTATAGTGTGTTTCTTCTGCTTGTGTGTATCTCACTGAACCTGCTTGGATATGTAGAACAGTTCTTTCTGTTGTGTTATGTTAGTTTTGGAACATTAGTTTATTCACTTTTCATTAATCTTGTCGGAAAAGTCCAATACCAGCAACGTCTTGGCCATTGTTTTAGAAATGTCTACATTAGCTGATAGGTTCAGTCAAATTAATCAGCTGTTTGTTCCAGTTGTCAGGTTGTTTTACCTCACGGTAGTACTCCATGATAACTCCGATGCTCTAGTTTGGTTCTTCATTACATGATTTCTTTACTATGTTATTATGTCAGTACGATCTTTATATATTTTATACCTTAGAGTTCAGGTCATTTGCTTCATTATTAGAATAATAATATTTCTGGTGAGTTGTCATGTTTCCTTCGTACGTAACTTGACTGATTCCAATGTTTTATTTTACTTGAGAAATGTAACCACTAACGCCATATATATTTTTCTTTGATCAGATTAGCCAGCGGGTTTTCGAATTGATAAGAAACGAAAGCTCATCTAGTGTATTGCTTCCAGAAGGAACGGAAAATGTTTCCCCTAGTAAAGCTGAGGCTTGCAAGCATTTTGTTTCAGGGAAGGATGACAGCAATAAGAGTGTTCCATTTGAATTGTACAAAATACGCACGACTGTTGTTGTTACGAGAGAAACTTTCTTAGATGTTGTTTGTGATGCTTTGGCTGAGTACAAGTATGTCGGTCCCAACCAGAGGGCGGACTTAGCTTTGGCATGCAGGTACGAAGAAGTCTTGCATCTTTATTGAAAATACATTTACTTTATTTACATATATTCATTTAAAAGTGCAATCTGGGAATCTGTGGTCGCATTCTGGCTACATATTTCACATGCTGTGTCATCAATTTGCATTTCATTAAAATATGGAAACACATGTTTAAAGCTGTAATTGTGTATCATATTAACATTAGTGTAAGAATTATTGTATTTCTTATGGAACTTTTATGATAACAGTGACATCTGTGGACGTTTTCTGTGGTTACATATTTCAAGGAAAGAAGTCCGTATTGTTATATCATCCTGAAAATTTACTAGTGGCATAACAATTGATTAATTAAGTGATGCAGCAATCATTATAGTTTTAGATTATTGATGAAAATAAGGGGATTTTAGTAATGCAGCTGGAACAAGAAGATGAACATTAATGAAATGTTCAGTATTTCTCTATGGCCTTGTGATGTGGAGTCATTTTCTATGTTGTTTATTGCATTCTTTTGAGTTATAAATTCCTGTCTTTGTTCTGTTATTTTCCTAATTTCACCAGGATATTTTTTCCTTACAGAATCCGTGAAAGGAAGGAATCTGTGACTGTACTGTTGTGTGGCACTAGTGGCTGTGGAAAATCTACTTTGTCCTCATTGCTGGTATTTGAGTTCATCCATTCTTTGTTTTCATAATTTCCTTTTGATTTTTTATTTTTTGGTGTTAGCTTTTGTTAGTTGTTAATCTGACATAATATGATGTAATATGTATCTTCATTGTGATTGTCTATATATGGCCATTGTCTGATAGTCCAAGTTTTGTATGATGTAAATCAATAAGAATAAAAATTTGTGTGCTGCTATGGGTTTTGGGTGTAATCCATAAAGTCTTGCAGGGTAGTAGGTTGGGAATCACAACTGTGATATCTACTGACTCAATTCGGCACATGATGAGGAGTTTTGTGGACGATAAACAAAACCCTCTGCTCTGGGCTTCAACCTACCATGCTGGGGAGTGCTTGGATCCAGTGTCTGTTGCAGAAGCAAAAGCCAAAAAGAAAGCCAAAAAATTAGCTGGAACTTTACACTCACTTCCCAAAGATGGAATGCCTGATGGCTCTGCCTTTGGGAAATCTGATACCCGGATGTCAGATGTTGGTTCGAGTACTGCTGAATTGATCAGTCCAAAGCAGATGGCAGTTGAAGGGTTTAAAGCACAAAGTGAGATGGTGATTGACAGTCTTGATCGGCTTATCACTGCATGGGAGGAACGAAGAGAATCAGTTATTGTCGAAGGTGTTCACCTTAGTCTTAATTTTGTGGTATGTACTACCTATAGTTCTCTTT